TGTAACACCCCCCCCCCGCTACCAAAACCTTACCATGCAGACCCGTTACACCATTTCATTTTCTGATTATGGATTGTTCACACCTGCATTTTTCTCTGCTCTTTGGATGTCTTTGGTTTTGCTGTTCCCATTCTGTCTGCGTTGCTTGCTATATTCAGCATAAAATTCTCTAATCTAATTTTAGTTGACTCTTTAAAAATAGAGCATTTATTAAGGGCTGGAAATCAAGTCAGACTGAGAGGTTTGTCTTTTTGCTATTGATTGGAGGGGACTCTTGGATTCTTGTTCTAAGTATGTATAACTGGAACACCCCCTATTGTCAAAGGCAGCAGTTTTAAAGTGCATCCTGATAATTTGTGAGAGGGATTACTTGAAATAGTAGTAGAGAAAGCGATCACTTCTATGCTAATTCGAAAGCTTCTTGATTTTGGCCAAAATTTAGTCATGGCTAACTTATACAAATTTGGTTTATGGCTACTTTGTTCTTTGTCCCTGTGTTGCTCTGATAAATTTATGGAGATCAGCCATACTCCCTCTCAGCTGTTGTTTTGCAGAGCTAACTAAATGAAACTCCTTAAGAAAGTTGCTTCTCATAAGATAGGCTCTTCTCTCCTTTAATCACCTTGGGATTTATCATCCTTGACTAAGGATGACCTGAACTGTGTGTAGCTTTCCAGATTAAGCCTTATTAACTCCCTATTAGTATTAATAATTTTCCATTTGTATTGAAAGTGCACATCCTAGGACCACCGTGTTACCCAGGCTTATACTGTTCCTCTGACAGACAAAACAAAGCCAGCTTTTATTTTGTTCCAGCTGATGAATTCCAGACATCTAGCAGATATTTAGTTACATTTGCAAATTGTGAGATTTTATGCTTTGTGCTGCTAAATGTTATCGTATAATTATTACTGCGGTCTTTGCTGTGCTGCTTTCATCTTCCTGTGTCAGCATATTTCTTTAATGCATTCCTATTTTGCATGCTGAGGTTATTAATTAAATTATTTGAAAGATCAGTTAACCTAATCCCTTTGAGAAATGCCACTGGTCTCCTCCTTTGAAAACCCTTGGATGGATGAAGGTATTTGTCAGCGCTGTGCGTTCCAGTCAGCCGTTGTGATGGGCGTGAGGCGATGTCTGCGTTGCACTCGCTGCGCTGGAGCGCAGGCGTTCGCAGGTGGCCTTGTACTTGCTGCAGTGCAGTTAATGGCAGCACGGCATTCTCAGCATGGCTTGAGAAGGTAAGGGAGAGGTAACCCGTGACAGATTTTGTCACAGCTGCACCGCTAGTATGGTCCAGCCTGTTTGAAGGGCATCCTTGGATGAATTGGCATGTTTCTGCAGTCCTGTAGGCTTTAGTGATCTCAGATGTGACCTGGAGGGAATATATCAAAATAAAATATAAAGCGAAGTATCAATTTTGATAGAATGTTTGATGGTGCCACCAAATAACAGCTTGTTCATGCTGTGTTATGAACAGCAACTGTTTGTCCTCCTTGAGAGCACTATGTGCAATGACCTAGAAGTGAAAGACTTGGTGTTATTTACCAGGAGGAGTAGATGTTTTCTGTTCTGTTAGGTGCTCAGATTTTCAGTAGGTTTTCCTGTTTGATTTGTTTATTTGCTTTTCTTAAAAATGGTGCCTTGCTGTTTCAGCTTCCCAATCTGTTGTTCTATGGCCCACCTGGAACTGGAAAGACTTCCACTATTTTAGCAGCTGCTAGAGAACTCTATGGGTAAGCTGGAGTCAAGTTGCTTTGGTGTAAGCGACTGTTACGTGTCTTCTAATCACGTGACGGAGTGCCTCTGGTCACTGCCTGGTCTTGTGTAGCTTCTAGGTCTTTTTCAGGAATATCTTCACATTCTAACTCAGCTCTAACATGAGATTTCTTTCTCATTTGTCCTGTCACAAGTCTTTGGTTTCTGTTACCAGTATAGACTTACAACACTTGAGACCAGCAGCCGTGTAACCCTATAGTAAAGAGTGTGAAAGGAAATGGCTTGCACATGCCTTACTGAACTTCGTAAAGGAATTCCAATTTTAATGGTATATTCAGTAAGTTGTTAGCTACACATAGATTTCAAAGTACTTCATAAAATGTCTGAATTGTAATCTTTACGTTACACACTATTGGATTGTGTCTGGAATAATTATTAGGAGCCAGACTAATATTCAGCTTGTGTACATTCATCAACTCACTTGTAACACTTGGGAGTCTTTGAGTAGTGAATTCAGTGACCCATAAGCAGAAAAATGGATGAGGTGGTTTGATGTTATGATCAAATCTAATGTTGACTTTAGTACCTCCCCCCTATCCCCATCATTGTCTTTAATTTTTAGCTCATGTGTTTTTGGAGAGAACCACTTCCAGTTGAGTAGTAGGAAGAGAATTCCACATTTTGTGTCCATTTAAATTCCCAGAACTTAAAATCCACTGTATTCATTCTTTTTTTTTAATCGGAGGTGCTGCTGTGTAGTACCACTACTGAAGACTGCCTGTATTATATTTTCTAGATGTTTCTTTCTGGTAGTATTGCAGTGGTGGAGCACTGCCAGTGACTATATCTGGGCATTTTCCTTGTTCTTCCACATTGCTCACAGCATATAACTAGGAAGGCATGTAATATACTGCTCTGAACTTACGAAGCCAACTACCTACTTTTTTTTTTCCCTGGATAACTGATGTAATTTTACACTTTGTTATTTTCTGCAGTCTGGGAGGCAACTGTAAAAATAGCTAATGGAAATTCATACCTAACATTTAATGATCTCAACTTAACTGTCTTTTAACAAAGTATGTTATTCAGTAATGCTGGCAGAAATAATACCTGCCGTTCAGAAAGGCCAGAAGGGTTGTTGATATGCTTCATAATGTATCATTACAGGAGTTAGCAGCTAACATGTTGTAATAAAAATTTTGCAGGCCTGAATTATTCCGGCAAAGAGTCCTTGAGTTAAATGCTTCTGATGAGCGTGGAATACAAGTGATTCGGGAAAAAGTGAAGGCTTTTGCTCAGCTAACTCCATCTGGAAGCCGTTCAGAGTATGTGCTGGATCAAATCCCTCTTGCGTAGGACAAACCACGTGGTTGTTCTTGTTTAGGTTAACTTTACCATTCTAACGTAAATGGTGGGTCAGCTCTGCCCAGGAGTTTGCAACACGCACAGTGCTTTGGCGAAGCTTTGACTTCATCTAATTTCATGTTGAGAGTTTGAATACCCGGGAGGAACTTTTCTAAGTGCTGTTTGAGTTAGAAGAGAGGCAGACAGGGAAAACCCTGAAAGATCAAGCCTTCTGGATTTGGTGATACGCTGTTGCCTTTGCCAATGTTGTCTGACTACCATAGAAAAGCTGCTTTGGGTAAATTGTGGTGGAAATTACTTCTCTAATCTGCAGCATCTCATACAAGATAGGTGCTAGTTTATAAGATGCTAACAAGATTCTGGTGTTAGATGGTGAGAAGCCCTGTGCAGGTGAAGCCGTAGGTGTGGAAAAAGCAGATTGTGGAAAGTAGCAGGAAGAAACTGCATGCCAGGACTGTCTGGCAAGAAATGGTCTTGTGTGCTGAAATTAGTCTGTTGCAGTGTTCTTTGAAGTTCAGGGAATCAGGAAGCCTGTAAAAAGAAGAGCTGCATTAGTTGTTAAAAGAAGAAACTTAAAGCAAGAGTACATGTTTTAAAGGACTCTTGCTGTATTCAAGGATCGGTCTTTCTATGGAAACTCAGTCCTCCCTTCATTACACATTTTAGTCCTTTATCTAAGAATAATCAAAAAAGATTGAACCCCTGAATGTGTTCTGTGTATCAAGTATAAATACTTAAGTAAATATGACTTGCTGTTTGTAGTGATTTTGTTTGTTGGTTTGTTTTTTTTCTTGGTCTGTACATTGCAGGTCTCCTGGATAACAGATTTCTTATTTTTCAGTGGTAAAGTTTGTCCTCCTTTTAAAATTGTAATCCTGGATGAAGCAGACTCAATGACTTCAGCAGCCCAGGCAGCTTTAAGGCGGACAATGGAAAAAGAATCTAAAACAACACGTTTCTGCCTTATTTGTAACTATATCAGCAGGTATGTGTGGAATTTGTTGCTTATTTGTACTTGTTGCTCTTCCTGTGCTGTAGTCTCTTCTTATCTTTTTCCCACTGAGAGGCTGATACCTAGTTTTCATAGTTTTCAGTTCATAGAGATGTAGCTATGTGAAATCTGAGACTGAAGACAATGTTTACGTTTCAACTCTCAGTCTTTACAGCGCTGCAGTTTTAAGACTATGTTGCCCTTTCCTGCCTTGACAGCTTTGTCTATATGAACTTGACCCATGTGTTCATTTACCAGAAACTTCCCTTCCTTTCTTTCAGAATAATTGAACCTTTAACATCTCGGTGCTCCAAATTCCGCTTCAAGCCTTTGTCAGACAAAATCCAGCAGCAGAGGCTACTGGATGTTTCTGAGAAGGAACACGTGAAAATCAGTAGTGAGGTAACTTCATGGTTGCCATGTTGTTTTGTTGTTTAATCCAGTTGTCCTGGTTTGGGCTAAACCAGAACTAATTCTGTTTTAGTGGTCTAACTTTTCAGTTAAGTCTCCTCTGACTAACAGATGAATTACGGGAGCATCTTAAAAACGCACCAAAGATGATAAGGACACAGAAACAAGATGAAGAGGAATCTGATGACTTACATAACTGCACTGTGGTGAAAGGGGCTAAGTCAGCATATGTTTCCAGACTGCTCAGTTGTATTAAATAAAATATATTAACTCATTTAGATACTATCCTCCTTCCATAGATGGGATGAATTTTAAGAGTCTTCCTAAAACCAGAGCGATGACCACCAGAGAAAATGGAAGCAAAACTGTAGGGCTTTTTGTTCTGTGTTGAGTATAGTTGCATTGAACCGTGCTTTATTCTGAAATTGCCAGCACACGTTTGTATTAGTAGAGAGGTCGCTTTGTGTATTGTGCCTATCTGTGACAATCTGCTTTAGGCACTACTTAATGTTTTAAAATCAATGTGCTGAGAAAGTTTACTGGCTTTTAATTAACTGTGAACATACAACTTGGCACTTTCTGACGTTATTTTTCAGGCAGTATCATACCTTGTTAAAGTATCGGATGGAGACTTAAGAAAAGCAATTACTTTTCTTCAAAGTGCCACTCGCCTAATGGGTGGGAAAGAGATCACAGAGAAGATAGTCACTGAAATTGCTGGGGTAAGCTATGCTTTACAGTGTCTCCTGTCATTAGGCTGAAAAGCATTTGTGTAGTAAGTCTGCTTGCTACCTGTACTACCTTTGCTCAAAATTTGATTTAAAAGTCATTTTATACCCATTAGCATTGCAGTGTGGTGCTGATATGCTATCCACCAGAATTTTAAAGACTGCCTGATTCTGTACGCTTATTACATAGCAAGTTTCTAGCCACTTACTCTGTGAGTCAAAGAAAACTGTAAAATAGTCTCGCAATTCAAACTATAGTTGAAATATTCTGCCCATGAATGCAAAATGTATTGCCTTTTGTGGGACAGTAGACTAGAACATCTTTTAGGCGTGTGTGTGTGTGTACACAAGTGTAGATCATTGCAAAGTATGGTTTGGAGGCGCCACAGGGGAATGACTTCCAGTAGCAGCTCATTTTGCACTTAACGCTCACAGTGACAGTGTCCCTTCAAGGATCTGTGTAGATCTTGCTTTTTAACAAAACAGCAGTGATTTCTTCTAGAATGACGGGGACAGGAGAAACCTGGAGAAATAACTTTAATAAAATTAGTGTGAAGGCGTTGCTATAGCAACGACACACTTACCCCCTAAAGCAAGAAATGTGAGATTAGAAGTTGAGGAACTGAAAAATAAATGGGCTTTAATGATGGACATGCTTCCCATGAAGGTGCTGCCACCATAGCTAATTGTGAGGGTTGTGAGGTTTTCACTTTGATGGAACCAGAGGCAATTGTGTGTGTTTTACGGAACTGGTTTAAACAATTTTCTCAGTGAACTTGTTCAGTTTGATGTATCTAGCTGTAGAAACAAGCTGGGTTTCACTTCCAGGTGTCTGTAAATCACAATTTCTAAGAAACCTGGCGGAAGTTGACTGTAAGGATAGGAAAGAGAAGTGTGAAATTCCATCATTGAATAATGCTTGTTTAAACCAAAGGAACCCAACTTAACATGTTCATAAAAACTTCAAGGCCTGGGTCGCACGTAACTTCTGTCACCCTAGAGTGACCTTGGGACAAAAGAGTAATAAGCTTTGAAACCAAACTGTCCAGGCACTCGATGAACAGGAATGACAATGAGTGGAGGGGAAAATGTGGGCAGTGCTCAGAGCTAAATAATGGCATCTGTCAACTTTTTTTCTTCTGATTTATTGTCTGATCTTGTTGCATTGGTCTTTTTTTGTATGTCCCTGGTGCGTCAGTGGAGAGAAAACTGATTTGCTGTTTTGCTTAGGTGTGGAATGGTACAGAAAGCATTGGCTGATCTCATTGTTCAAGTAGGTCCTGGACTTAGTGTCCTGAGTAAGCGATTGGGTGTTGGATTTATGAAAGTGACATTGACAATTCACTATCATCATATAGTTTTTGTTTTAATATCGCCAATATAGGACAAATATTACAGCCTAGCTCTCACTCTTAAAATTTAGCTAGTCTACCTTGCTTGAAAGTGTTTGGGTGTATGGAGGAATGAAATGCTAAAGGGGCCTCCTTCAGAAACAGTTTGTTACTGTAAGCATCAACTTCAATTTTCAATTTACAAAGTTGAAATTAGTAAATGTAACTTCTTGTTACAGGTCATCCCCAAAGAAACGATTGGTGAACTGCTGTCTGTCTGCCAGAGTGGTTCATTTGAGAAACTGGAAGCACTGGCAAAGGTAGAGCACCAAGAGGACTGTAGCCTGGGTATCCTTCTAGGTCGGTGCCCTGCGAATCCTTTGCTGCTGGGCTGCAGCCGAGGAGCGTTTGGCCTCAGGGCAGCTAGGATGCACATTTCGGGAAGCCCATCTTTTACCAGTTACTACTGCGACCTTTCCCTTCTGAGGAAGAGCTGTCGAAGCTGCAAATAAGAGTCCCTACCAATGTGGGTTAAACTGATGACGTGTGGAGCTGTTGGGCTGACTTAGGCGGAGTAGGAATTCCTAGTGGGACACTTGGCTCAGGCCTTTAGAATTGTGTCTTCAGGAGGCTGGACCAGTCTCTGGACTGGTCACCTTCTTTGTTACACAGAAGCTGTTAGTTGAGAGGTATCTCAATAAAGCTGTAGTAAGTCTTCAGTGTTGAGATATTTTGTGTGGATCTTACAGTAGAATTTGTCTTACAAACTGCAGTGACTTAAAATAGATCTTGCTGGAGAGGGCACAAGCTACTGGCTTATAGAGGTGGATTTATTTTCTTTAATACAGAAAAGGTTCTTACTCTGTTTGAAGAATGGGAAATTGCTAATCTCCTGAGTTTAAAGGAGGCTCAGACAATCTCAAACTGGATTTTGAGTCAAGGAGTTGTGCCTGACAGAGGGGAGCACGCCGTAGTACCATTCCCCCTTCCAGGGAAGTGTTCCGTCCCTGGGGAGAGAAGCCGGTATTGGTCAGCCTCCTGCTTCTGGCTTGGCTGAGCCTCATCGGGTAGTTTTGGCAGGACCTCTGGTTTTGAGTCTGTACATATTCCCCTGTAAACTTGCAGCAGATCTTGGTTGTGTTGTGCAAGGACTTGTGCAGATGTCACTGCCTTACGCTTCCACGGTTGCTTACGGTGATGTCTGAAAATGTGTTGATCTTCAGAGGTGATGGTATGGATTGTCTGAGTCCTTAGAGCTGGTGTAGCCTTTCATCAAACCACGATCTAATCTGATGTAGCTGTTCAGAACTGTTCTCCAGTTTCTAGAGCAGGTACTTCACGGTGGGGTTTTGTTTCAGACCTTAGTGCTCAGTGTGCAGTTGGCACAACTTGGGTACGTCTGTCAAGTGCGGCTCTGCTTTGTGCTGTGCAGCAAAATAAAATTGCAGCGACTCTTTTGCTGTTTTCATTTCTGCCTAAATGGCTTCATGGACTCAGTAACTGCTGGTTTTGTAACTGGGCACTACTGATGTAAAAAGAAAGCTATCTTTAGTTGCCATGCTTTTTGTTTTATTAGGAAAGCTTTGGCCTTACAGATCTCTGTATGCCTGAGGCTAGCAACTGCCAGATGAAGAAAACAAATCAAAGTAGGTGGCACTTTAAAATGCGAAGGCTGTGAAACTGCCACATGATGCTGTGGATGCTCAGCTTTCCTAATTTTAGAATCAGATTGGACAGGTTCAGTGGAGGTTGTTAAATGCTTAAAATGTCTCTAGCTCACAAAATCCCCGAGATGTAAATTGTCAAGAGCTGGAAGAATATTTGAGCAAAACTGTTGCCATGTGCCCGCCGTGCTCTTGCAGTCGTTCCAGGGTGCTCACTTTGAGTCACTGTCAGGCGGATGCTGGACTGTGCCAACAGCTGACTTGGCCTCTAAAATGTAAAGGTTCCATAATAAATTTCAGTGCACTCTCAGTTCAGACATAATTTTTCAGGTTGGTTTTCCAGTTTGTGGTGTTTCTGTTGCCAAATTATTTCCATTTTCCTCTCTCCCTGACACAGAACCTCATAAATGAAGGGTATGCTGTGGCTCAGCTTGTAAACCAGCTGCACGATACTGTTGTGGAGAGCGAAGATTACAGCGACAAGCAGAAATCTGTCATAGTTGAGAAACTTGCGGTAAGTCTGCAGCTTGAGTTAAAGAAACCTGACACATTAATCTCCACTGATTGAATTTTTTTGTAGCCACTCTCTCCCAGGAAGTATACAGAAAGATTTATTGTGATTTTTAGTTCTGAATATTTCTTGGTAGAACCTAAATTTTTGTCCTGAGAAATTTCATGAGAAGGAATTGAAATCCAGTGAAGTGAATTATTAGCCATATTATATTGCTGTAATGGGACTGGCTCAAGAGGTTTGGGGATTGTTTGGATTTTTTAATATTAGGTGGGAGAGAAAATGAAGATGAGATTAAGTCAGCACTTAGAAGCTGTAAAATGCAAGTTTTTCTTCTGGTGTTTAAAATATGCCTTTTCAAAAAAAGAAAAAGAGGCAATTAACTTTCTGAATTTTGACCAAGATGAAGACAGCAGTGGCGGAGGTTCTGCTGCAGTCCCTGAAGAAAGGCAGATAGAGTTGGTGGCCTGCAGGGTGATGCTCCTGGCAGGCAGTGGCAGAGCAAACAGTGCCTCCCTTCAGCCGTCAGGCCTTGGCCTCCTCAAGGAGGCGCAGGCTGGGAGGTCCCGTTGTTCCCCAGGGTGGTGTGAGGGGTGGGGGCATGCGACTGCTGGAGCAGTTGTCACCACTTGAGTAGCCGGCTGGCCAACTTCACCTGGGTGCTCTCCATGGTAACCTAAGAGCAGCTGTCCTGAGCACCACTGTGTTAAGAGGGTTTTACTTCCCTTTTCTGTTTGCAGGAAGTAGACAAATGCTTGGCAGACGGTGCCGATGAGTACTTGCAGCTGATGAGTCTCTGTGCCCTTGTGATGCAGCAGCTGACCCAGAACACTTGACTCCTCCAGCAGTGGAGTAGAGCAGCTTTTTGTTTCATGGGTGGCTGAGAGCAGGGACCCATGGACTTTTGTACTGGTTTTTGCAATAAAAGGACTGCTCAGCAGTTGGAAAAACTCATGCTGGAGTACTTGATTTTATTTTTTTTTTACTTGAAAGAGCTCTCTGGCAGCTGAGGGACCAGTAATGCTCCTGTGCATACACATAGTACTTGCACACAAAAAGGTAAATGCACCAAAAATAAATGTGTCCTGTACTTAAAGTCATTGTCAGCTGAAGGCAGGAAAAGAGGATGTTGTTCCTTTTGGGCTTGGGTTTGAAAGCATTCAGCCTGAGCCCAGCTCCTGAGGAGGTGTGTCCAACCCACCTCCATCTTCTATCAGATCAGCCCTTTAGCATGAAAGGCTGCACAAACCACTTTCTACTAAATGTATTACCACACTCTTGTTTTTATCAAGTTACTCAAGAAAAAAGGTGGGGCAGCCTCGGACCTGGGGCTCTGGTCCTCTCAGGTGCTGCTCTGAGATTCTGGTTACCTGGCAGTCACGTGCCTGTGGCCATAGAACCTGGGGCCTGTGCTGCTCATGAAGCCAGCCATTTTCTACTCGGATATCAGAGAGGGTAGTTCAGTGTCACCCCTGTGCTGTGACACATGCAACAGCCTCACGCACTTCCAGGTCACCCTTTAGTCCTCCCAGGTACTACTCTGACCGCAGCCCCTGCAATTACCACCACCAAGAACCACCTTGAAGCCCTCTAACTGGTGCAGCAGAGGGAGGCCTGGGCAGAGCTGCACTGTCCCTGCCATACTGCAGCCAGACAGCTGCTATCACCCTCCCCCTGAGCAAGACACCCCTCACCAAGAAGCAACTATCTGCAATTTAAGTGAATATAGAAGTATTTTATTGAACATTCAAACTTCATTAAGACATGTGCAATATGGCAAATTTTACTGGGTTTAACCCTAACTAAGACAATAGTATGATTGCTTGCTGGGGCTTAGCAACAGGGTCCAGATCACACTTACCACTAATTAAATACTTTATTGAATAAATACATATGAAACAAAAACGCATTTTAATGCTCCTATAAAAGTTGAGAGATTTTGAAAGGCCTTTCCAATTCAATCTGAAGTGTAAGTACATACAATAAAGGAAGGTAGGCTAGTTTAACATAATTGGCTGACTTTATACAGCACTTATATCTTTTAGTCCATAAGTAAATTATTAAATGATAAAGAACATCTAATACAACCACTTCTATGGAACTAGGAAATAAATTTCTAATAAAGAAAAAATTTACAGACCCCATGACTTTCCACCCAACCCCAACAGTCTAACCCTAAAGTGGATAAAGCCAATGGCTTTCCCCACAAGAGCTCACGACAGAAAGTCGCTTCGCTTATCAAAAATCTGTATTTCTGATCCGTTATGAGCATTGAGACAAGATTCAATGTATCCCCAAAGAAAGAAGCACAATGCACGTTGTGAATCGCCTATTCAGCAACAGCGAGCACTGCATTCAAACCACCTCATCCCAGGGATTAAATGAGATCAGCCACATTCATCGGCATCTCCTCCACTGTAGTATTGTAGAAAGTCTCAATGTCTCTCAGGATCCTCTTGTCCTCTTCAGTGACAAAGTTTATAGCCACACCTTTTCTGCCAAAGCGACCGCCCCGGCCAATCCTGCACAAGAAGAGCACATTTATACACTCCAGCCACTCCAACCCGCTTCCAACACCTGCAAGAGCCATTCCTTCCCCCTCCGCGCTGTTCAGCTCCCACCCCGCCGCGTGCAGCCAATCCAAGGCACAGGGCACACCACCATAAGCCATCACTCAAAAACCAGGCTGGTCCCCAGTTAATCCATTGTATTCAGTAACAGGGAACAGCACGTGCAGCTGGAAAGTTTTAATTCCATGTAACTGCTTCCAGCGGCAAAACTTTTTTCCAAAACTCAGAAAAATTGAAGCTCAACATTTTAAGCCCAAGTCAGTCACTAACACACCACAGTAGTTTAGCTCACCCACCATCAGTTCTACCTCCCTGCAGACTGCACCTCATCAGTAAGAGCTGGATACTTTAATGGATCCCCAAAATTAGTCAGACATCATGACAGAAGAAATACATAAACACCAACTCGTTCTTTAGTCAAACTGTGCCACTTCTGAATCCACAGCCTGAATTGCATCACTGCTGTTTCTGAGCACCACCTCATGTCATCAACTGCTGCTACAGACTCCTGTATCTTTTTACACCAAGTAACAGAGCAGTTTGCTTGGTTTAGGGTCAGCCACTGAGCAGTTCGCCAAGCCCAGGGAACCAAACTGCCACCTGAAGGCACACACCAGAGGGAAGAACCCTGCTGTAAGAGGAGCCACCAAGGCACAGAGCTGGCCCTCCACACACAACGGCAGTCCTGCACACAGAGCTTGCCAAGAATGCCGACAGAGGTCCTGTCCCTGAGCAGCAGCTGAAGATCAGCAAGGACCTACAGATGGAGCTGCCATCATGATGCTAGGCCAGTGATGGCTTCTGCAATCCTACTCCACAACCTGACAAAGTCACTCAGTTCCCCCAGATCTCAGAAGAATGATCAGCCATCACTGAACTCCTCACACATCTTGGTTTTCCCCCTGCTTTGTTGTATTGTCCAGCAGTTCTGCTCCTCCCTCACTTCAGAACCACAGCTGTTCAAATCAGGGCTTTTTTAAAGCCAAACCCCAACTACTTTTATTTCCTGCTACCTTCTCAGCAGTCACCCCCCGGTACCAGCAAGAACTAAAGGGACCACCAGGCGAGGTTCTGCGCTGGTTTCTGCTGAGCACACCACACCCCGCATAGCGCGGCACTAGGGATGGAGCCCACGAACCTGTGAATGTAGTTTTCACGATTGGTTGGCAGGTCGTAATTTATAACCAACGACACTTGCTGCACGTCAATGCCACGAGCCTGAAAAGCAACACAGGGTCTTTAATGCAAGTCACAGGCTCTAGCTTCAGCTGTTTATCCCGTGCTTTTGTCGACCACATGGTTAGTGATGAACTACAACTGCGTAGTCCATCGTGGAGCGCAGTCTTTACTCTTCCAAGAAGCTCCAAGTAGTTCAGGCTACAAGAACCTTCACTGAATTACGGAGCTTTTGGCAGCAGATTTAAACAGAAACGTGTTTAGAGTTCAAAGTGATACTCGCCAGCAAGTCAGTGGTGATCAGGACACGGCTCGATCCCGATCTAAACTCTCTCATGATAACATCCCGTTCCTTCTGGTCCATGTCGCCATGCTGCAGAGTGAAAAAAGCTGCCATTACTACAGTTCCAACACTCCAGGTTGCAACGTCCCTTGAGGACCAAGTGATGTATGAAACCCAGCGTCCCTACCTGCCGTGGGAACAAAGCAGGTAGGGATAGAAGGAAGCATTTTTCTTTAAGCAGGGGGAACGATAATACAGCACCGCCCAGCTATATTATAACTTTCCTGCTTTTCACTCCAGGGGAGCTCGTTACAAGCTGGTTTTCAGCACATACAAGGCATTTCAGCAGCTGTGGGGAAGGATCAGTTCTTACCAGAGCCGAGACTGTGAAGTCCCTTGCATGCATTTTCTCTGTGAGCCAGTCTACTTTTCTCCTTGTATTCAGGAAGATAACAGCCTGTGTAATGGTCAGCGTCTCGTACAAATCACAGAGGGTATCCAGCTTCCACTCCTGAACAGGACAAAGATGATCAGGAAATGCATCGTCCCGACAGCTCAGGACATAACAAGGATTCCAAACAAGTGAAACTCAAAAGCAATAACCAATTAAGCATGCTGCAGGGTACAGACACAGTCAGCATGACCTGAGAAGCAGGACCAAGCCACTAAGCAAGGTTTCTGCATCTAGTGTTGCACCAAATCTGAAGACACAGGACACCGGACATTAAGAAAGAGGTCCACCCCAGTCATTTCTGATCCAGTGCATAGTTTTTCTTCTTCTTGCGTGTACTCTACTAGCATTACTACAGAAACCGAAGCTCAGCCTCAGGGTCTGTAATTTTAGCACAGTGCTTTAACAAGAAGGTAAGAGAACTTGAACTCGGCTCTTCCAGCCAGAGCAAGCTCAACTAATACCAACCTCTCTTTCAACATTAATGTAGAATTGCTTGATACCCTCCAGAGTCAGTTCTTCCTTCTTCACCAAAATACGAATGGGATCTCTCATGAACTTCTTGGTCACTTCCAACACATCCATTGGCATCGTAGCCGACAGCAGCACAACCTAGAACGCACCGCTGTGTTAGCGTGCACCTGACACCAGTTTTAACGTAGACAATTCAGCAGTTCTCAGCTACCCTGTAACCCAATCCGCATCCATCGATTTAACCACATAAAAGGTTTTTTACCTGGATGTTTGTGCTTAATTTTTGAAAGATTTCATAAATTTGATCCTTAAATCCACGGCTCAACATTTCATCAGCTTCATCCAGAACAAACATTTTGATCCATTTAGGCGCTATTAAAAAAAAAAAAGGAGTATCTCATGAAGTTTCAGAAACACACTTTTATTGTCACTCTCCTGCAGGACTAAGCTTTCCAAAGTACAACTCTCTACAACAGCAAAGGCATCACTTAAGGTCTCGCTGTGTGTAATTTTATATTGGAAATTTATTATCAAGAGCAAAATTGAATCCGTACTTACAAAGGTAGCGTCTGTTTAACATGTCAAACACACGCCCTGGAGTTCCGACCACAATGTGCGGAGCCTCAGCCTGAAGCTTTTGCATCTCATTGCGAACATTTGTACCACCAATACAAGCGTGGCATGTTGCTCCCATGTAGTCTCCAAGGGCCAGAATCACCTTTTGAATCTAAAATAAAACCTTCCATTAGTAGTAGCTCGTTGCTACATTCAAGATGAAGCCCTGTTACTGCTGGTGCTTATGGACTGTGGAAGCTAAGACAGCAAACAAGGACTATGCTGCTCTTACGGTTAGGAAAGACAGTTGCTGGTGATTTTACCCAACTGCTTGTTACTG